TGTTGCACATTATCTGCATGATCTGGCTGTATCTTCTTCAGGTGGATCTTGTCTCCCTTCTGTGTCAGTTCGACACACACATCCATTTGTTTTAGTCTAGGGTGAGTCTTATCACTTCTTTTCATTTATGTTTTTTTTTTCAGAGACTTTCTTTCTTACCACTGATCAGTTTTGCTTTGCCTCAAACCAACAATATTTACTGACTGTACTGTAATGCTCACTGTATAGATGGGGTGTTCTGAAAGACAACTGATGGTATATCCAGTGGGATATACACGTTTCTAAATATTAGTAAGTTTCACTCAATGGTGGACCCTCACTCATGGACTTCATAAGTAAAGTAGAAGGAGATTGAATAAATTAGGTTCTGTCTGCTTTTCAAAATAAGGAATCATGGACATGCATTGCACTTTCTCTGGTGTGATTTTCCTCTGTACTCCTTACCACATTTACTCCCCCTTTTATTTTTCTGAGCATGAAAGTATCTATTGGAAATACATTTTCAGTGTAAGAAAATATTAACATTTCATATATGCAATCAGTGCCGGCACCAGACTATTTTGCACCCTAGGCAAGGCCAGCTACTTGCACCCCTTGAAAACAATAAACTGGTTATGAACTAACAATGAACTATTGTATTTTCCTTTTATTATGTTTTTCTTAAAACAACTAATTTGTATAAAACTGTGACCCTTAGAGGTCAGTACTGTGCCCCTCTGAGGACTATGCCCTAGGCGGCTGCCTAGTTGGCCTAATGGTAGCGCTGGCCCTGTATGCAGTCAAAACACAAAACAGTAACATACACGAAGCATACAATGTCTTATAACTATTATAATTTATCTGACTTTCTAAATAAGATATAAGTGCCTTAAAATAATTCCCTTACCTGGTTCATGTGAACTTGGCAATAGCAACTTTGAACATGTAGGCCGAATAATTAAAACACTGTCATCAGAATGAGTCAGTCATATACAGAAATCACTAAAATATATATTTTTCTCTCCCTGTTTGTTATAAATATTACAAGAAAAAAATGTTAGAGAGAAATTTTGACATTTTGTGAAAGAGAGGTTGTGATAGGTGGGCATGACAAGTAGTTTTGACTTTCTGGTTTATACCTAAATAAACAAAGAAGATTGGTGGTTATAAAATTATAATATGCCTTTGTAATATCCATGCTATAGATGTGTAATTTATGTTAAACTAAGACATCATATACTGGTTGTGAGAAAATCCAAAATGGGCAGACTGCAGTGAACAAGTGTTATGTATAACAGACAAATGAAACTTGAGAATTTACTTAAATACTTCTTCCTGAAACAAAAAAATGAAACTTATTGTAATATTAAAATTTGATTTATTCACTATATTTTATTGCTAAGTTTATTTATATACATTCATAATAATCAAGTAGTTTAATTAAATTTATTTAATAACTTGTAACATGCACACTTTTACCTACCAGTCTACAAAGTGTTAAACATTGAAACAAACATTACAAAAGCACAAAATACAAATCCAATAAAAATAAAATCCTTTAACATAGATGATCTACTGCTTTTATGAGCGGATAGCTAACAAAAGTGCTATAGCATACAATATACCCTTTACCAACAAAATACACAATACAAAAACAAGCCCTTTAACAAAAATGTACATAAAAACAAGAAAAGATAACCTTCAGCAATGTTAACCATATTAATAAAATACAAGTATAAACATCCTCTTTGAAAGGGAATGACCAATCAACAACAAGACATGCTAAA